TGAGATGAAGTCTGGTTATTGCAACAGCACTGAATGTGATTCTTTGTTCAGAGGAAGCAAGCCACAGCCCTCTCCTATCAGATAGTGGTGAGGGCAGACTTCAGAGAAGTGGGACATGGTATTTGGAAGCGGTTATCGTGTCTTTTGTAATGGGTGGAGGGGTGGTTATTTTGAGCCAAGTTAGAGATAACGGATCTTGCAGTGGCTGTGTGTTTCAGGCCAATAATCCACATTTCAAATGCATTTAAACAGGTTATTGAGGGAAGGATTCAATTTCATTCTGCTTTGAATTACACACAAAATATTATAGGACAGTTTCTGCCTCGTTCACTTCAGTTGCAGACATTTTAACTGAGCTTCGCTTTGAGAACAGTTTTGAAAATGAGTTACAGTCTTGTGGTTAAAATGGGTCTAGGAATTAATATTTGGTTTTTGTCTCTGAATGTGCTGCAGATGAACAGGATGACATTCAGTTTTTCTGTCCTCAGTTTCTCTGCATGTAGAAGAGAACAGTTGCTACTGTTCTAACATGTGTTGGTGTGTGAAAGACACTGCATTAATGCGGGAGATCAATTGTCCAGATGTGTACTGGCTCTTTAAAGCCAGTTACATATGTGGCATCAGAGCTGACTGCACCATCACCTTCCTTCCAAATGAATGTTGTTGGTAGACACTGAAGAAGTAAGCCTGACACTGCTTTCATGGAAACATATGCCAAATCTCTCACGGGTTTCACTAAAAGCTAGATCAGGCTCAATGAGTTGCTGACAGACCTCTTGCAAATTAAGGCTTCTCCCAGGACTCTTCGACAAAGTGAAGCTTTGTGGTTTTTCAAAGTGTGTTTTGGGGTTTGGGGTTTTTTTTTGTAATATAATTGTGCTGCTTCTTATTTTCTGTCCCATGCATGACATTGAGGCTTCTTACTGTTTTAAGTGCCACTGTCTGGTGTTTCACAGATCAGGAACGTGTGGTGTGATTAATCTTGTGTCTTCATAGAACTGGAGGGACTGACATAACTAAACCTGCTCTTCCCATCATAATACTGCCGTGTGCCAGCCCACATCAAACTCTGCCTTCTCAGAAACTTCTAGCTCACCGTTAGCTATTACTCAGAGCCCTGGCTACCCCGGAAAGTCCAGGCCATCTCAGGTTTCCTTTGCCGTTCGTGTAGTCCTTGTTTCTGGTGATGACTATTGCGTGATGCTTCAGAACAGAACAGTGTATCCCCCAACATCCAGTGTGCACACCCAGTTGTGCAATGCCTTTAGAGTTCCTTCTCCATCCGTTTTGAGGAATCACCTTCTGCCCTGAAGCATGAAAACTGCTTCTCCTTATCTTCACCTACATTACTCTGGCTGCTGTCACCGGTCATAAAGTTATCTGTTGCCCTTTTCAAACCAGCCCCAGTGATGACTCCTCTGACCTTCCCTCCTAATGAATTCCATAGGCTGGATGCACTGTTGAAAAAAACATTTCTTAAACTTTCCACTAATCAAACTGGGGGACTGCAAATTAAATAATATGATACATCGCCTCTAGTTATGCTCAAAGAATAGGATCATTAAACCAAACCCAGTATCTCCTTCTTGCAGATCACGTTTTCCACTTCTGCCTCTTTATTTAGATCAAATTTGCTAGACTTCAGTGCTGCTTTTCATTCAGGATGATAAAAGGAACAGGATCACCATTCTAAAGTGAATTTCAAAGGACAAAATCTCAACTGAAGTTTAACTTGAAGTGAAAAGACTTAACTTCATATATTCCTGCAAATTTGGGGGCAAAAGTCTCTGTAATTTTTTTCTCTTTCTTCCTTTCTTGCTGCTCTGTCAGGGTTTTCTATGAAGGATTTTTATTTTTTCATGCCATGACCATGTTTGTTATGTGCAACTTCATTTTTCTTTTAAGTCTGAAAGAGGTCAGATTAAATACACACAATGAAAAAGAGGCTAAGCAGTTCAAATAACTGCAGATGGACTATTTCGGACAGGACTGACTTCAAGGAGCAGGAAGCATCAGTTGCAAACAGTAAAGCTCCCAGGGAAAATATGCGAGCAATTTGTCTTATAACCTTGTGCATAACCATTGGGTAGGAGATTTTATATACAGTGACCCTCTGTTCTTGCTTAATTCAATCTAGCAAAGCAAGATACTACAAATCTTGCCTTTTTTTTGATATGCAGAGCAGAAGCATGTCCCTTTAGCTTGTAAATGCTACACATCGGGATCTGAAACCTTTCTGGTAAAGCAGGGGAAGAGAAGGGAAGGGAACTGCAATGTTTAGTTCTCTGTCTTGTGGTTGTTGTGATCTTTGGTGAGTGGAAGGGAGCTGCAGTGTTTAGTTCTCCCTCTTCTTGTGGCTGTTGTGCTCTTTGGTTTTGAATTAACTGTCTGTGTTCTCAAAAGAAAGGCTTGTCTGATGCCCGCCCACCTTTCTGTTAGACACTTGGTGCTGCTCAGACTGCTTTTGTCTGAAGCTAAAGCAGCAATTTATGGAAGAATACAGACTGGTATTTATATAATGTCTGTTTGTCCCAGAGAAACCCAAGGCATCTAGAAACTGTATGTAGGAATCCCTATACATATAAGCACACGTGCATTTCTAAACAGCAGCCATTTCTCATGGTGAGCACAGCCATGAAACAGGAATCCCAAACAGCATTTTAGGACAGAAACTAAGGCAGTCCAGCTGTAACCACAGGAGGAGGCTTCAGTAGACAGAATGTAATCAGCCAAGTTAGAAATTGGCTAAGGTGCTCTGCTTTAAATCTTCTGAGTCTGTTGACAGTGCTATAGGATTATTAATGTTCATAGACTGCTTGATGCCTGGACTCCACCTGAGGAATGACACCTCCTCTGTAGTGCAGTTTCCCCGGAGCACATTATGGGCCAACAGTTCAGCAGCAACTCCAAAGGAAGCCTGGATTTTTTTTATCCATCCACACTGCTTCCTGCTGCTCCTTGGGGAAGTTTGGAGATGTCCCATCCAAGTAACGGATTGCAACATCCCTGCTTAACGTTAGTGATTTGGCAGGTTTACGGCAACAGAAGGCATGGCCGCAGGGAGTTTACTTTCCTTTGGGTCGGGTGCTGCACTTTTATGCTGACCTCTGCAAACCCTTGTGGAATTATTTTCTGTATCTGGCAGAACAGTTTCTTTTTAACTGAATCAAATACAGTATTAACCAGCTCTTCCGTCAAGTTATGATCTCAGCATCTGTCAATACAAGGTAGTTCATAATGGATTACTCTGATCTACTCCTGTGTACGGTCATGTTTGGCCATAAACATTATCCAAATTTTTCTGCAAAAATGTTGGTGGGATTTTTACTTTCAGGCCTATTCTGGGGCCTTTAAGGTGTCTAAACTGAATATCCAGATCACCAGTCAGTTTTAATATCTTGGCTTACAACACCATTGCGGGGAGGGAGAGGAAACTGGAAGTTGGAGCAGCTAGTGCCTTAGGAGCAAAAGTCCACGAACATTCCTGTAACCCTCTGGAAAACAACGTTAATAGGTTCAGTGCGTACTCTGTGCCTGTGTATCTCTGCAGGCACTGAAGTTATGGTAGGCATGAATTAGGGCCACTGTGAACAAACACTGCCCCTGCAGCATAAGAAAATAAGTATCTGTGATCAGGGTCTATTTTAGATACTGCAGGGAATTCAGATCGCCTGCCTACTTCTGTTGGATTATTTATAGTTACAATATTTTAAAGAAAGCTAGTATATATGAGAGAATTTCCGGTGTGGTAAGCCACAGTCATTTGTTTATGCTGGATCGTTGCCAGGAGGCAATATACCTCATCTTGGTGGAAATGATAGGCATTTGATGCGAATTTCCTAACATAAGAGCTCAATTTTTAATTTATTTATTTAATTTTCGGAGTGAGTTCTTCAAATACAAACCTCTGAAGTCTGAAGAATTTTCCCAAAGCCCCCTGAAAATGTTTGCATGGTTTATTTGCCTTCTTAAAAATAAACATTGTGCTTACTTCACTGATACATTGGGGAACAGATTTGGCTATGTAAATACAACACTTATGTGCATGAGAAGCTGTATTTAAGATGTGATCTGTACTTAAACCAGTGTTCTAAATAAATAAATAAGATAATGTCATTTTTGTAGAGGAGTGGCCTGTTCTGACTTAGCCGATCAATTCATTGAACCATAGGAAAGCATTTTCCTGACTGCTTTATTTCTTTTTACTTGCACTGGTTTGAAAGCAAATTCAAATTAAACTTTCTCATCTTGACAAGCCTCTAGCAGCTCTAAGGAGGGCTCTTCTGCTTTGCGCAGTGAAACTGTGCACCTCAAGAAAGTTCCAGAGAAAAGGCAGTTTAGAAGCATGGGCTTCTGGACTTAATCCTATTCCCACTGGAAATCCGATAAGCATTCAGATTAGCTTTGTCTTTGGTAAGGATTAAATTTGCAGAGAATCTCAAGTTTTTGTGCTAAGATTGGTTCTTGTCTGGGAAGAGCCTTTAGTAACAAATAGTCTGAGGCATTTAGTATAGAATAGTGGCATTTTTTCTTATGACATCCAATTAATGTTGTTTTGCTAGTGCTTGCGAGTGCCACATTGCAGTTAGTCCTGTGAAATGCCAATAAAAAAATGTCAATTACCTAATGGATCCAAAACCTCTGCCTAAGGTAATAGTGACCTTTGCTGGGCAGGTTGTCAGTAAAGTGGGAAGATACAGCTTCTTCATATAGCGTCACATATGTGTATTCTTAAAGGTAAAAGAGAAACTTTGTTGGCTGTTAAGAATAATGTTTCTTATCCTTGCAGGAACTGACGGTAGAATCTGGAAGTAGATATGCTACATACTTTTCTGGTGTATTATATACACAAGATAGCTTAGTAACTTTACAGTGCCTTTTCAAAACCATATTCTGCCTTTGACAGGTGCCACGATACCAGATTTCAAAATCTGATTACCTCACAGCTTTCACGATTGTGTTTTTCATCTCTCTCTCCCACCTTTTCCCCTTTTTAGCAATCTACAATTACGACGCTGTCCAAGATGTGGAGCTCTCCTTGCAAGTTGGCGATACTGTTCACATTTTGGAGATGTATGAAGGTAGGTTGCACATCACTTCCAAGTACTTTACAGTGGTTTTTGAAAGTAAATATAACAAATCAGGATTTTTTTTTTTAAATAATACAAATTTTAGATCTAGATTTTAAACTTCTGATATGCCCAAAAGCGCAAAGCGTGCTATGTAGTGTTTGCTGTATGCGCTTTACTTTTAAAACAGTATTAAAAATGCATGAAGTACAGAAGTGGGAATCATATCTATGCTGTTCCTGGCGGAGGTTTGTCAAGGTAAGATTTCAGTGGTATCTCAAGGCAGCACTGCAAGAGAAAGAAACACTTACTTCTCGCTGTTAATTCCTGTTTTCACACCACGCCTGTTTACCTTGGCTCCTCCTTGTGCTGGGCCAAGTGCTTGCATAGTCATGTGATGAACTGATCCACCTGGAAAATAATAGTAATTTTTAAAAAGTAGCTTTTAACCTGAATTCGTTCTTTGATCTGAGACAACGGAGGCAGTGGATGAAAGAAAAAGAGAGGGCAGGTCTAATTGTTTCAAAAGTAATGTTGGTTTAAACCATAATATCACAAACTGGCATTATGTGTTTTAAAAAGCCTCCAGTTGTGGAGCTTCCATGCCTTTTTTAGGCTGTTTCTCCCAGTACTTTACTGGGAAGTTTTTCATAATACATACCTTAATGTAAAACATCTTGAAGAAAGGAAAACAAAATGCCTATTTTAAACAAGATGAAAATTACACTTGTGTGTTTCATATCCACTTACTAAACCAGACTGTTTAATGAAGATTTCAATATCAGGAATGGAACACAGCCATTTAATTATTTTAAAGAATGTACTAGTCACTACTTTGTTTGGAAGGCTCTCCAAAATTTAAAGATTCTTCCCAAAATATAAACTCAATAATTTTCACAAGCAGCATCAGTTTGAAAAAGGCTCAACATACAAAAACTCTTCAGTATCTCTGCTGGGAGCAGCAAGCGGTGTGTTTAGCAATTTGTTCTTAGCCAATTGTTCTCTTTCCACTTCTCTTTGACCTTGACACTGGAAACAGCCAGCCAGTTCCTACATGTCAAAGCAGATTATGTTGCTGATGTGTGTTTGTACACTGATGTGTGTGATAGTGGTGAGTGTGGCAGGGGAGTAGAGAGAGAGGGAGAAAGGGAAGAAAATCCCTGTGTAATAGTACTAATTTTTGAACTGGTTTTGCAAAAAACACAAGGAAGAGGGAGTGTCAGGGATGAAAATTGCCCTCATGAAGATGCATCTTGTACTTCCCAAAATGTTAGGCTATTTCTTCCTCTTTTTTTTTTTTTTAAAGCAACATCACTGTTTAATCCTAGTACTTGGTCTATAATCAGCTGTTTAACAGAGAGACAGTCAAGAATAGGAAATGAATACCCAAATGGCATCCTTGTTTTTTACCTGAAATGTCCCAGTCTGGAACTTCAGTGTGAGAAGATTGATTGTAAATTGTTTGGGAAAGTGAACGTGTTTTCATTGTTTTCATATGCTGAGCCACCAGTGTGGCATCTTAATTTGTGACTGAGGCACCTAGGAATTACTGCAGTACAACTGAAAACTTTTCTGGAAAGACCAGCAAAAAATTCAGGCCAGACATTTGTGAATCTAAAGGAAAATATGCAAATTGTCTCCAAGATGGTAACTTCTCTGTGGGTCTGGTCTTATTTCCCATAAATTTATCTTAAAAATTCCAAATTCTGGTGTTCTGTCTGCTTGGGAGGAAATTCTCATGTCTTATTGTATCTATTTTTCTTTCTTTTGTGACATCAGCTTTCAGCTTTGTTTCCAGATAGGCGGGTTGTGTTTTTGAGAATTAGTGTTCTCACAAGAAGCTTTTCTGTTTTTTCTTATGCTAATGATGTATGATTACAAATACAACTCCAGTCTGATAAAAGTGGGGTTTTGTTCCACTTATCACTGTTCTTATCTGGATACACAACTCTCAATTTAGAAAAAGGTTCCATTTAACCAGGGTGTTGGTTTTGCAAGAAGAAAGGCTCAGAGATGCCTTGTGAAGTCCTTTTTTCAGCCAGTGTAAGTTATCCCTGCAGCTCCCAGCTGAGGGTGTTCCTTAGGCTATCGGTCATATTTTTTAGGGGATTAAGGCAGAGTTTTTCAGGATTGTCCAGAGGCTCTCAGGTAATGGTAATAGCCACTTGGAAAATCTTGCTCCTTGCTATTGTTCCCTATCTCAGGATGCACAGAAGCATCTTTTGTGAGTTACCAGAAGGTTCTCAGGGCTGTTGCACCCCAGTTTTCCTGCTCTGTCAGTCATCTAGAACATGCCTCTTTTTTCCTCCTGGTTGAAGTCAGCAGGTACTTATTCCTCAGCCATGTTCAGCAAAGGCTGGCTGTGTATCAAACAGCCTTCCCTTGAAAGCTCTTTATATTCTGCATCTGGGGTTTTGGCTGGCTCTGCTCTGTCTATAAGAATTGAAGTGCACAGTTTGTTCCTTGACAGTGAAGCAGCAAGGTTGAAGCTTGCACTGGGTTTTGCTGTTAACAATAAACGTTATCTGATTCTCAACGGGCTGAATAGCTTTGAGACATAACACTGATACAGCTGAGCTACTGGGGGAGGTGTGTGAGAAGCAAAGAGCAATAAAGTGAATTAAAGTGCAAGGCACAAGGTATGGATGCATTTTGGTGCAGGCCTCCGTGGTACACGAAGGTTACAGTTACTTGGCTTTGCCAGAGACTGTAGTGTCTCTCAGACTCTTAAGGTGGAGTGCCTGCAGTCAGGTGCTGCTGTTGTACTGCCTAATGGCCTCACAACAAGAGAAAGTACCTTTAAATTGCAAAATCCCTGCTCATTTATGCTAGTGCATGCTATCAGGAGTTAGAGGCCTGTTGCAAAGACTGGAAGTCCTTGGAAAGTTGGCCCAATTTGGGGTGAGACTCTGGCATTGCACTTCTGTTGGTAAAGCTTTCTAAACAGATGCTTTGCCTGATGTTTATAAGTCTCAGTTACAACTACACAGTTAGGTTTGGATTGTGAGTGAAGGTCATCAGAACTGAAACCACAGACTGAGCAGTTTGAACTAAAGGTTTCAAATATTTCTAGTACAAGCTCTAATTTGCTGATGTCCGATGCAGCTCAAATCCATATAGGGACAACCTGAGAGCTGTTTGCTATTGGGTTGTATAACTCCATAGTCTAGACTGTGCAGCGTTTCCTTCAGTCCAGGAAAATGAAGATTGTGGCATATTGCATCTTTGTCGATCTGCTATTAGGTGCAGGTGTAAGTGAGGTTTGCCCTGTAGATAGGGTCTAAATTTTCACATTCAGTGTTTTACTTTGAGACTGATTTTAAATAACTTTTGAAATGTCTTAGTTGGGCTTCAGGCGTGCTTTGAAACACCATGGTGTATTTATTATACATGAAGATCTGGAGGATACCAGTTTTCTTAGACTTACCTTCCCTTTAAAACAAATACACATATACCCTCTGCAAAGCGCGGTTTTGTTAGTTTGGGTGTCTTGGTCATGATACACTCTTGTAAACTGCAAAGCAAGGTATTTTTTTTCCTCCTTTCTCTGGTTGGCTGTCTGGTTGCAGAAGAGCATAAGGTCTTTGTACAAAATACTTTTTCCACTTGATAATAAGGTAAGCAGCGCGTGCTTATCCTGTTGTTTGCCAAATATTGTCAAGACTGGGCATATGCTGCAAAATCCAAGAAAAGAAGGAAACTTGCTGCATCCAACTGAACATTGCTTCAGTGCAGGATTTACTTACTCTCTGGGAATCTGACCTTGAGCAGTGAGCTGGGGAGGATACATTTCTGTTTAGGGGAATCTTTTCTAATCTGCAGTTGCAAGCTGTGGGAAATAGCCAAATTGTGGGTAGAAGGAACGTGTGCCCACATACCATGATTCTGATCAGTTTCTTCTCCTGATGAAAATAAGTTTGTATTGAATTTGTTCCTATTTTCAGTCTTTTATCCTTCCTCTGACCCCTGTAGGTAAAGGAAGCAATTCCTTGTTTTATTTCAGTACAGTGCAGTGGTGTACGTTGTGGTACTGAGCAACAGCACACTACAGTGGAAGAGGAACAAAGACCTTGTGGTTAAGCACGTGACCTGGGATTGCTGTGTATAACTTTTCATTGTCTAAACTATTGTAATTTGAATAATTTTTCTTAGATCTTCTGATCTTTTATATATTGCATAAAATCCATTTAATGAAAGGTACAATTGAGGACCTGTGTTCTATTTAAAAACAACAAAAACAAAACCAAAACTTTATGACCTTTCTTTGCAAGTCTCCTATCCTTGTAGTCTTAATCAGACTTCAGTTTGAAAGAGTGTTGTAGTAGCTGAAATTTGCCATGTCATCTTCAACTGAAAAGCCTTTCTCCATTTAGCACATCTCTGCTTGGGGAAAGTACTCAAGAGAAACACTTAAATAGTCTATCATTCCTCTGAAGCTTTAGGGCAGATTTTGGTTTTCTTTAAGAAGAAATCAAGTAATCAATTGACCACTGCCAAAAGCTTTTGTTCCTTTTAAAATGATGGATAAGATTATTGAAAATTGGAGCAGAATTCTGAAAAAACTGCATGAGATACTTGCTGAAATAGTTTTGCGTAATAATATACAACATGCTTTTAGGCAGTGATCGCAAAATATTTTACAGGAATGTGGTTAATGCCAAGAAGCCATTTTAAATACGAGGAAGTGGTGGTGTAGAAGGGCTGAAAGACTGTGTCAAATGGAATTGAAATCACTGGAAAAATATTCTTAAGTTCCACGAGCTTTGTATCACACCCTAAATAACTTCTACTTGACCATTCAATTAATTACAACTTAGATAAAAATAGAACCTAAATCTTCTCATCCCTAATCCAGTACTTTATCCATTGGTCCATGATCAATGTATAATCTTATCTTCATCCTGTGGAAGGAATGGAATATCTTCTTTCCTCCTAACTCACTACTGGAATATTGGGGTTTATGTGGTCAAGCTGATTTACCTTCTTATTGCTAGAGAAAGGGGACAAAACTATGCTTAAAAACAAACAAATAAAACCCAAACAAACACAACCCTCCCCCCTCAAAAAACCCCAACAAAA